AAATTCAATCAGAAAGAAGATATCCATAATACGTGAGGCGCACTATAAGTTTTCGGAATGAATAAGAAATAAATACAATGAATGGTCAGAAATGAACTTATTGTTTCTCAAAATATTCTCCGTTAGCGTTAATGCACTTTTTCATATGAATTTACTAATTTTGAAAACATTTATGCTACTCCTCCGTGACAATCTCTGAAACGTATTTTTCACCCTCTTCAGGTGATGAAAATCGTCGACCGCGTAACTGGTTCTTAATTTTTGGAAATAAATAAAAGTCACGAGATGCCAGGTCGGGACTGTACGCGGGATGGCTCGTAAGGTCAACGTTGTTCACCTTCAAAAATTAATTTGTCTGTCTGGCCGTGTGAGAACTGGCATTATCATGGTGCAAGATGATACGGCGCTTACGGTTATTTTTACGGAGGTTGCCAATAACTTCCGGCAAACAAATGGTCGTGTACCAATCACTATTCACGGTACAACGATCCTCCAAAGTAACAGTAGCCACGTCCAGTTGTATTAATAAAATGAAGTAATCATCCTCATAAAGGCACTTTCCACGCGCACCACTTTGATTGGTTTCGGCTCATCTCAAAAGACCTATACGCTCGATTGCTGCTTTGTTTTGGGATCGTAACTATAAATCCATGTTTCGTCACCTGTTACTATGTCCCACACCAAATTTGACGCCCCTTCGTTGAATCTGGTAAGCAAGGCATTGCACCAAGTGACGCGATCGGTTTTTTGAGCCTCAGTCAAATTGTATGGGATCCACCGAGAGCGCAGCTTTTTCACACCTAAATGTTTGGTAGTTGATTGTATTTAACTCATGCCTATGCCTAAAGATACCCAAATCTCATGGTATGTCACATGCCTGTCTGTTTTGATCATACGGCGCACAGCATCGATGTTTTTGTTGTTCACAGCAGAGGACGGGCGACCATCACGAAATTCGTCACTAAGATTTACACGACCGCGTTTGAATTCTGCAAACCAGCTGTAAATAGTCGTCAAAAGCAGTTTGAAGCCGAGCAAAGCTCCGCTGAGCTGTTAAATTACACTTAAAGTCGCAGAAAATCATACTATGAAAATTTTCACAAGTTAAATCCATGGTGATGTAGACAACCAATTTCTAAAATGACGCCACAATGTAGAAACAAGTGACAATCAGATGAAACAAACTGTATTCTACAGCCAAAGAGTTCCATTTTTAAATGTTGTAATTACTTTTTAAATATTGTTTATGTAAGTGGCCAGTTCCAGAAACTTATAGTGTGCCCTATGTACCTATTAGCCTTTGAGCTGAGCCCAAACTCATGGTACCACGATTTCGTTTAACCAAGGTAAACGATTCTTTTTCTTATGTCTTTTATGCAGTTGAAACCGACTTCATGCAGTCGATATCGGCTGCATGAAGTCGGTTTCGATTGTATGAAGCTAATGCGTGAAGTCGTCATCCGAGACCTCGACTATACGAAGTTGATAACGACTTTATGCATTAACTGCATGCAGTCTGCATGCAGTCGGTATCGACTGCATGAAGTCGGTTGCGACTGTACGTAGTTAAGGCGTGAAGTCGTTATCCGAGACCTCTACTGCATGCAGTTGATAACTACATCACGCATTAACTGCATGCAGCCGATATCGGGTGCATGAAGTCGGTTTCGATTGTATGCAGTTAATGCGTGAAGTCGTTATCCGAGATCTCGACTACACGAAGTTGATAACGACTTTATGCATTAACTGCATGCAGCCGATATCGGTTGCATGCAGTTTTTTATTTATTTTGAATACTTACCATAGATCGAAACATTTTTGGTATCTAAGTACGCAGAAGCTGTATTGAAACTCGTAAATAGAACTTTTTAATATCAACCGGTATCTTATTAGAAGTTTATACTTATCCATTGCCCATAAAATGAATTTCTGACTTTGTAAAGACGGCTGTTAAGAAGACCAACTTTATTTTTATTCCTCGTATTTTAATATTAGGTTTATCACTATTTTTCGTACTTATTCTTTATTTCATTTCATTACAATATTCCTTCTCAGTTACCACAAAAATATATATACGACAGTAATGCAAGGAGATTGAGATATTGTAATATTTGGTATTCACATGTTTTTTTACAGCTAATGGGAGGTGGATTTAAAAAAAAGCATAGGTTATACGAGATTATAGAACATACGTAGGTATCCAACATCGTTAATATAACATAGTGTTTCGTTTGTGACGTCATGGGATTGCCAAAACGTTATGTTTTCACAAAACTGTTTATGAAAAATAGTCGCCGAATTTTTTTTATGATAACAAGTGACGGGACAAGAAAAGACCTGTGCCTAACAGTTGCAGTGCCACTCAGAGCTTTAAATCGCAAAGTTCTGAGAAGCACTAGGTGTCGCTATGAGTCATAAGTTGACAAATCTCATAATAATATGCCTCTTATTTCACCAGAACCCTTGCCCTTTGCCCTTCAAAACCGGAACGCAGTAATGCCCACATTACCGCTTGGTGGGAGGAATAGGTAAGGTGGCAGTACTTCCCTGGACGAACTCTTTCACAAGGAACTAAGCTAAGAAGACTGGAAGCGCTTTATTTTAATTTTCATTTAACAATGCGCTACCAAAAACACTTCCGCTATCATCTAACTATACTAAAATGGACAGCCTTGTCACCTTATTCCTTAACTAGAAAATATGTGCAAATACGGAGCTTGGTAGGTAACGTTTAACAATAAAGAGTACAAAAAAAGTGTATGGAATTTTCTATAGTGGCGTGCGAACAAAACACCGTACTCCGTAGCAAGCAAGCGGGTCGACTGACGGCGGAGAAAGGTGGGAAAATTCCTAAGAGACCTACTTGGTGATAGTTGATTGGCTTTATATGGCTAGAGAATATTGTAAATCCTATATTTATTAAAGTATACGTATATAGACTTGAACTTTAACTGTACAGTCCCTTTCCTGGAATGCTCGAGGGATTGAATACGCGGAAGATAATTTATTTCTCCAGTTATTCTATTTGCCTTTTAACTTTCTTTGAATTGACGTTTTTTTTCAAGTCTATGGTCTAGAGTCTCAAAATCTTAGAAGATGGAAAGACTCAAAATCGACGAAGTCGAGATTACGGCGTTTAACTTAAAAAAAAAAAAGAAACAGACCGGATTTTGTAGTCACGCTTTTAATTACTGCAACTTTTAAGGCTGACGCTTCATAGTCCTGCACAAATAAAAAAAAATATTGCAAAGATAATTAAATAACTAAGATATCCACTTCGGTAATTATGACTTATATAATAAAGTGATCTGAAAAGCTCGTAGAGTAGATGTATCTATTTGCCAAGTTTTATCGAAATCGGTTACCGAAAAGTGACCGAAATTTCATTCGGATTCATTTCCTAGTTTGCCACCCTTAGAGGTGGAATATTTTCTTCAAATTTAAATGGGACCAATATTGCGGTACTCTCTTTCCAACAAAAAAGAATCTTTGAAATCGGTTCACAAATGCTGGAACATACACACACAAAAAATACAGTCCAATTGAGACCCTACTCCTATCTTTTTGAGTCTGTTATAAATGAACGCCTTTAAACTTGGAATTATCTATAGCACATGTGTAGTTTTAAATAAATGTAAAAAGTATGCTAGATTACTATAATTTAAGTACATTAAAAATATTACTAGTAATAACTAAAACTTTTATAATAAGTAATTGCATGAACTGTGCGTAGTCCATTCAATATTAAACATCCTGGTATCGTGTGGCCTAAATAACACCGTAGGTTAATTAGTTTTGTACCCATATTTGGAAGTTACATACATCGACAATGTGACCTATGTTTTCCTATGTTTATTTAGACGAGTAAAAATAATGCTTTCCTATGTCGTCAAAATTTAACGTAATAGTTGTGGCAGAATTCCAAAAAAAAAAACAGACAAGTATTTTTTTCTTTTTTTAAAATGTTGTTTCAATTATCTAGCGAAAACAACTTGACATTGTAAAAAAAGTCACCTTACCTTATCAAATCGGCATTTAACGTTGACGTGTTAGCTATTAACACAAAAAGAGAAAAATATATTTTGGTCGTAACACACGCTTGGAGTACCAATAAACCATGTTAAACGTAATCAATTCGATACGGCAGCTAAGTATAAGATGTGCTATTAAAAATCACATTTTACTTATGTAGTATTTATTCAATTTATATTTCCCTACATTCCAGTTAAAATTCCTTCTCAAAGCCAGAGGTGGTCAGTTCAAAGCAATCATTGCATCGACCCGCTCTTGCAAAGAAAAAAAAACGATACATTTACTCAGCGATCGTCCACACAAATTATAATCGAGTTACAAAAATTGTATACTGTAATGTAATCTAACACGGACAAATATCGACGTGTTTTTAAAAAACACGAGTAGCTAATGAGAATGTTATGTTTTTGCCTGTCCATTATCAGCATAGAGCTAGAAATATTTTAACTACCTACCCATACCTAAGTGCCTTGTCAAACAATTCAAAAGTGATTCAAGGTCTCGAAAAATTTCAAATGAATTTTTAGATTATTGATTCTAGCGAGCCGGAGCTAGTGACTACACAATTTTTATATAAGTCATACAAAAACACACACAGGGGCACAAATTCATACGATAACTACACATACGGGAAGTACTCACACTAACACAAAGTATACATACCGAACACCCGCTCTCTAGGCTATCTATACATTATATTATAAAAAAAACTTCAAAATAGTATGGCTTCGCTCACTTTCTCAGAATACGATACGAAAATAAAACATTAAAGTATGAAGACTGCTAAGCAATAAAGTCGAGAATGCTCCGCACAAAATAATTTGCCATCTTGTTCGCACAACCGAACGCTTTCGAGTTTTCCCGCTTATGATCCAACTCAAAATACGCCAAAAATGACGTCGAGCCAATGTTGTTTCGAAAACAGTGTCTCGCGTTTCTGTCTGCGGATACCGCGTGCCCGCTCGCTACTTATTATTTGGAATTTTCCAATCGACTGATTACCGCTGCTCGTCGTAAGTTTTACAAACAAATTCGCGTCCGTTTCGTATTTTTCGCGTTTAGCGCCAAATAGGAAAGTCGTATGTGCTCTTTAATGACTTCGGCGAACGGCAAACCCGATAGGGTTGAAATTCGCGCTATATTCGACGATTAACCGAACAATTTAAAAAGTGGCACCAGCTCTATAATGGAGTACTACAAAAAGTACATGGTAAAATAAGTCGTATAGTAATAGAAAATTCTGACAGCTCGGGACCGTCACAAGAAAATAATGTCGTTTTTATTACATTTTTTGATAAATTATTATTCTAGTTTCAAGTCGGGCGTTAAACGGCCTTATCGATTTTCCTATTTAGCGCGCGGTATTTTGTACATTTTGGAAAGGTCCACGGGCGTGGTGGCCGCTTTTGAAAAAGATTTTAATACGATTTTCTTGGCGGCGGGCGGTCGGGGTCGCTTTGTAAATTGGTAATAATTTTGTTTCATTACACAGTAATATAGTGGCATAGTGTCCTAATATGGTTTAGTGCCGTGGAATGAGCCGTGAGACCATGCTGTTGTGATATTATGAAAATATTCGTGTTTGTAACGGCTAGTTTTCTATTTTGTTTGTATAGTGTGCAAGTGCATCGTACGTGAAAGTACAATTTATAATTGGAATGCCGTATGTGCCTGTTGGAGTGGAGAAATTATTTTACCAGGGTTCCAGGACCTTCGGGAACCCGAAGGGGGCCTTCCAACGTATGTTCTAAATGCAATATTGTAAGTACATAGTTTATAACACATTCTAGAGCATAGAAAGGGCGCTTTTTGACCTTTACTGCGCCCTTTTAAGGCTTGAAACTCATTAGCTGGCAGCTATAATAAATTCCTTGACAATATTACCTAAATTACCTCCTTATCACTTTAACATGAAATCCTTCTTTGAAGTTTATTATAGCCTGGTATGTAATGAAGTAAATGTTTTGATATTGTTCAATGGATATTATTGCTTCTATGTTAATATTAAAAATAACCAAAGTTGTTAATTAAATTTTACATTAAAATACCTACCTAATTAGGTATTCACTATAAATTTAAAAAAAATCATTTCAATAATATGTGCCCTCTAATTAATTTACCTATTCATAATTTGCTACTTTCTAGTTAGCATGAAACGGTTTTTTTAAATATGGAATAGAATATCAAAATGTTCAAGAAGTTCTTGTGAATAAGAAAAAAGTGGTAAATTAAAAAGTTTTAATGGTCATAAAACCATAAAAGTTACTTTAGAATGCGTAATTTAAATAATTCTGAATATTTATAAGTAGATTAAGATAATGTCCCATTACGATGAACATTTGTAGAGTAACCGGTCAAAATGTATAGAGCACACATTGATAGTGCCACGGGAATACACTAATCTTTGTTCATATGTCTTAATTCGATTGTGGACATACTTAAAAAGATCAGAACAAAAATACAAAGAATTAATAAGCATATACAAGAAGATAACCAATTCAATATGTATATTCAACAAGTATGTTAATTAATGTGCACTTATGTTTAGTTGTCAATAACTTAATTTTGTGTATATTATTAAACGTACAGAAGTGTACAATAGGGTGGTACAGATGCGTAAGCAGGCAACCAATGCGCTGGACTGATGACCTAGTTGAAATAAAAAAGGTTGGATAAATGAGAACAACATCCATTCCAAAAAGTTTGGTCTCCATTTGAAGAGAACTACACTTAACAATTAATAAAGAAGAATTTGCAGTATCAGGAGAAAAGATAGTTAATTTTACTCTTGTCCTTTGTCACCCTTTATTATTATTATATATATATTTTTTTATGATACTATAATAATAATAATAATAATAATAACGCTCACACTCAACATAGCCCCGCACTAGGGAAACCCTGTGTCGCGGGTGCCATGGACACACATAGACAACCACAAATTACACCCAAACTCACGAGAGAAACAAATGTAGGCCATACAAATATTTCTCCCAGCCCGGGAATCGAACCTGGGACCTCTGCGTGGCAGTCCGGCATGGTAACCGTTCGGCCACGGAGGCAGTTATACTAAGTCATAGGTTCCCAAACTTTTTGGTTCACTGGCCACTTAGGCATGAAAAAGTTTCAACAGATTAAAAAATTACAAACTACCACCCCAAAAAAAAAACTGGACACAAAAAAATCACAACGAAAATAAATTACATATATATATGTGTAGTGTAGTTTATATAACGCCCCCAATGCTGTCAAGGTCCCTACCTAGTACTCTTCATATCCATTGGAGGGTGGTAGGGACCACTTTGGGAGACTATGTACTGAGTGATGCAATGAACAACTTACCATAGAGCCCACGTCTATGGTAAGCGAAATATCAGTCAATAACAGGTGCAGGGCTACTCAGAGCTTTAAATCACAAAGATCACTCCATGCTCTATGCTCACATTAATGCTTGGCGGCAGAAATAGGTAAATGTATCAGTACTTCCTTAGATGAACACTTTCACTAAGAACTCTATTGCTACTAAATTATTATTAGGGTGGCTTCATCGCAACGAAAAATCCGCGAGTAATCGGGCCCCGATTTTACGAACACCTACCCACAACTCTAAAAAGTGCTACAAATGACGAAGTGTTTTGTTCCCGACTGAAAGGCCTTTTATTGGATAATGAATTCTACAGTGTAGAGGAATTTCTTTTAAAGAAATTGTAATTATCGAGTTCTTAGGTTTTCGCGATTGTTACACATAGGAAATGAAACTATTTTTCCGGATTTAAATCGCGTATATTTCTTTTTTTAAATTGTTTTTTTTGAAATTTTGTTAAATTGTAATTACCTATATTTTTAATTTTGAAAGTTTGTGTTTTGAAAATATTTAAATTTTTATGTGTTGTTTTGTAGTTCATATTTTTCTTTATTTCTCTTTTAATTATTTTATTTTATATTAACATTAAAATTATTATTTACCTTAATGACGATCATGTTAACCCTTGACATTATATTTCGAATTGTGATATTGTGAAATTGATAATATGAAGTAAATGATTTTATTCAATTATATTCTTCATTCAGGGCCTAGGCAGCTCCTCATCACTGCGACCACTGCTGATGATGTATTGTGATCACCACTAATCACAGTTCAGAGAAAAAACTGAAGGACTTTCCTGGCTCTAAAAAAAAGTTTTTATGTTCTTTGGTTGTGGCATGTGCCTTCCCAGTATTGAACTTCATATCATATCATTCATGTCAGGGAGCAGCAGTGGGTGAGGAGATGCACAGGAGTTTCATCTACGTCATGGTTTGTCACCTGTGCCAAACAGTAAATTCATAAAGATGAGAGGGCTATCATTATTTAGGCAAATGAAATACCACAAAAAAAGTGTGAAAAACCACGTCGTTTTTTCTTTTGTCCTTTGTCATGCCAATTATTGAAACATAATGTAAGGTTCATAAAGATGAACAGAGGGTTTATTGTAAGGGTTTATTGTTGGTATATCGTTATTAAGGTATCTAAATGGGGCATCACAAAAGAAGTATGAAAAACAATCAAGTTATTTTTTGTATGTATATATAGTGTGTATTTTTTTTTTATTTAGTCCCTTGTCACCCTTGTCAATTACTGGAACATAATGTAGGTTCATACAGATGAAAAGGGAGTTTATTATATATCACAGCCCCATAAGATACTTTTTATGGATGTATCATAAAAGAAATATGAAAAAACAATAATAAATAGGAACAAGTCGTACGCCTGGTGGTAAGCGACACGCCTATTCATAACATTTGGAGTGCCACTCAGAGCTTTAAATCGGAAAGATCTGAGGGGCAATGCCACTGCGCCCGTCACCCTGAGACATAAGTTGACAAGTCTCATGCCTGTAATTTCACCACAACCCTAACCCTTCAAAACCGGAACACAGTAATGATGACATTACTGCTTGGCGGCAGAAATAGGTAATAAGTGCTATTTCCCTGGATGAACTCTTTCAACCATTTTATGTGTACATTATTGTTCTTTGTTATCATTGTGGTTTTTTATGTGCAATTTAATATTATTTATTTGACATTCAGTAAACTTAATAAGTATCAGGAAAATAGACTCTATTAGTAAATGAGAGTTCCTTGTAAAAGAATTTGTTCAGGGAAGTACTGCCACCTTACCTATTTCTGCTGCCAAGCTGTAATGTGAGCTTTACTGCATTCTGGTTTTGAAGGGTAATGGTGCTGGTAAAACTAACGGGCGCATGGTAAGGGACAAGTTCTGTCAGATTGATTTGGCTTTGTGTTAATAATAATTTGTGTGAACAATGATTGAAACTAGTTAGACGACTACACTGTGGTATTTTTTTAATAATAACGCACACTCTCAACATAGCCCTGCACTAGGAATACCCTGAGTCACGGGTGCCATGGACACACACATCAACAAATTATAACTATAATGTAACCGATCGGCCATGGAGGCAGTTAAAATATAAATATAATAAAGTATTAGGAAATACATCTGTAATGGTAGTTGTAAGAGGTTAGTAATCACAATTTGTTGCTTTACTATCGCATTAGTTTAAACCTTTCAAGATAGTTTAAGTGTTTTTAAATATAAATAAAAAAATTAAAATTCTCAATATATTTACAGCATTCATATGGTGCTTAAGGTCTTAATATCAGGTTACACATATGAGTCTATAGGTTTAAATTTTTATTCACTATAAAATAATAATATATTATAAGAAACATCGATGCCTTGCTTTCTCAAACTCGTTATCTTATAAAGAGTGATATATTCAAGATATGACAAAACATTCTATTTATTTAAATTTTTTTATCAAAGGTGTTAATTTGAATGCATTTCTTTAAAAATAGGTAAAAGCTAGTGTGTCTGCAACATTTGTATATATGCAATCAATTTTATGCATTTCAGTAACTTCATGCTTTAAGATACGAGTTTGAGAAAGTAAGGTGTCGATGTGTCACTTGAAAGTTTGCATTAAATTAAATTACAATGGCATATCTATAAATATAATTACAATGAACACAGTGAATAGCGACATCCCTAGCTGGGCCTAACTGTATAGGTATCTAACTGGGTGACGAAATACTTTCATAGATTTCTCATAGATGGCGTTACGGCTAAAAAGTCGTTGAAAAACCAAATACAAAGATACGACAACAAGCACATAGAATAATTCGTGCGCTGGTTCGTTCCGTGGCTTAGTTGGTATAGCGTCTGCCACGGTATGTTAGAAGATGTCGGTTTGAATCCGACCGGATCGAAGGATATTTTTCTGAGTGTTCGATCTTTGTATTAATAATTATAATTACGATTTATTTATTATTAAGTGTAATTATAATATTATTTTTTATTTGTCATTACAGAATTCACTTAAATTGTACTTCCTAATTAGATATGATTTTAATTTATTAATAAAGAGTTAAATGTTTTTTCTCTTTCTTAAATTATAACAAATTACAGTACCGGCACGCTATGACGGCCGTTTTGACAGATTACAATAGTGAAGTCAAAATTCATTATCGAAAAAAAT